GTGAGCGGGGCTGGGCCTCAAGAGGCCAGTGGCAGGCAGGAGGAGCTGGGCCTGGAGAGGCTGACTTGAGGACGTCTGGCAGCTGGAGAGGCCCTGCGAGGCAGGAGCTGGGCCTCCCGGCACTGCCAGAAGTAATAGCGCAGCCTGTAGAAGTCACCTGGGGGCAGCAGCTGGGCCTGGAGAGGCCAACGAAAGGCAGGAGCGGGGCCTTCAGAGGCTGTCTTGTGGACATTTTGGGCCTGGATTTTGTGGCCTGGACTTGAGTCCTGTTGGGCCTCCTGCAAAGAGGCAGGAGCTGGGACTAAAGAGGCCATTGTAAGGCAGGAGCTGCGTCTGTACAGGCTGCCGGGAGTCAGAAGATGGGCCTCATGAGGCCACTGTAAAACAGGAGCTGGGTCTTGGAAGGTGGCCATGAGGCAAAAGCTGGCCCTTGCTAGGGCAATGAGAGGCAGGAGCTGGGTCTGGTGAGGTCAACTTGAGAAAGTTCTGGGCCTGGAGAGAAGACTGGGAGGCAGGAGCTGGGTCTAAAGAGGCCGTTGTAATGATGGAGCTGGGCCAGTGGAGGCTGTTGTGAGGCAGTAGCCTCATCCGCGGAGACTGCCGTGAGGTAGGGTATGGGCCTAAATAGACCATTGTGAGTCATGAGCTTGGTCTGTAGAGGCCGATTAGAGAAAATTCGGGGCCTGGAGAGGTTTCAGAGGCTGTTGAGAGGCAAGACCTGGGCCAAAATATTCAAGTATGTTACATTTATTAGGTACTTTATTTTCTTTATTAAATTGTAATAGATGAAAAGTAATTCTAGAACTCACCATAATGTAGAATCAGTGGGCATGTTAAGCTTGTTTTCCTGCGACTAGATGGTCCCATCTGAGCATAGAAGGTGACAGATTAGGCATTAGATTCTCATAGGGACAAAAGCACAACCTAGATCCCTCACACGCACGGTTCACAACAGGGTGCGTGCTCCTATGAGAATCTAATGCTGCTGCTGACCTGAGAGAAGGTGGAGCTCAGGCAGGAATGTGAGCAAAGGGGAGTGGCTGTAAATACAGATGAAGCTTCCCTCACTCACTACCACTCACCTCCTGTTGTGTGGCTCCTTACAGCTCCATGGCTCAGGGGTTGGGGACCCCGGCTTAAGTGCATCCAAAAGCACCCTTCTTCATAGCGGTCAAGTGCAGCAACCACTGAGCTCCCAAGGCATGTGCCTCAGTTGGCATTTCATCACAATCAATAGTAAGTGGTAGCTTGAGTCACT